CCTGGAGGTCTCATTATAAAGATTTTAGAATAATAAATCGGGTGAATTCCTTGATTTTTTTAATATAAAATACATAGAGGACCTAACCTGTAGCTAGTGGGATTAATTACGAATCCTGTAATTAACAAAGTCACGAACCCACAAGCAGTTGGGTAGATAAATATTTTAGAAAATTTTGTTTGAAACGCCGATAGGGTCGGATTCCCTTCGCAATTCTAGAGTTAACCACAAAAATATATTATCATTACTGGTATTTGGTACTTATTACGTTCGAAATTGTGTGTGTGTTGGTTTGGTTTGAATTTCGCTCAAAGCTACGCGAGGGATATCTGCGCTAACCGTCCCAAATTTAGCAGTGTGAAAGACTAGAGGGAAGGCAGCTAGTCATGACCACCCACCGCCAACTCTTTTACCAACGAATAATGGGATTGACTATCACATTATAACGCCCCCACGGCTGAAAGGGCGAGCATATTTGGTGGGACGGAGATTCGAATCCGCCACCCTCACAGTACGAGTCGAGCGCCCCCTAACCACATGTATTTCCACTAAATTGTTAGTTATTCAAAGTTTATTAAGTATGACCAAAAAAATGATTTTGTTTTTTTCAAGAACTTTTGGACCTGCTTTATCAATTAAAATAAAATACCAAAAAACAACCACAACTGTGGATCCAAGGATTGCGTTCCATTCCCTATATAGGACGCACTTATTTCCCAAAATTTTGGCTCAAAAAATCGTCCTGCGTTTAATATGCGAAGTTGAGACCTTCCGCGGGCTAATCTTCTTCCTAACGCTCACTATCCTAGCATACGATCAGTACAGCATTCCAACTACGAAATAAGAAATTTGCATAGGCCAGACGCAGTCGAATTTTCAGCATCCTGTTAAAGGATGGAAGGTCTATCTCTTAAAAGTGCGAACGCTTGTCCCTTCAGAAACATCATGACCTCACACACACAGGAAGAATGAAGCGGCCCACCATTGCCCTAGTGTGTGAGTGGGTGAAGAAATCTTGGGATGACGTTAGGCCTAAAATCATTGTGAAGTCTTTTAAGAAGTGTGGCATTAGCAATGCTCTTGATGGCACAGATGATAATGTGTTATTTGAAGTCAGTGATTCCAGCAGTAGTGACAAAGATGAAGATTTTTCTGGTTTTGAAGATGAAGAATTTTCTGGTTATGAAGATGATTAAAGTGTATCCCCATTTTCTTACTGTGTTTTTGTTTTTATGTTCAAGTGTTTTCTGCTTGTGTAATGTGCTGTTAGATTACTTTCACCAATATATGCTTAAATACACTAAAAACTTTTTTTCCTGAATCTCACCTGCTGAAATGGGGGGCCGTCTTATATACCCATGCATCCTATATGCCATCAAATACGGTAAATTGTACTTTGGATTTAGTACTTAAGTAAAACCGATATATAGTCAGTTTATATTTGCCAACAAGATTGATAAACAGAGTTTTCTTTTTTAACACAAATACGTTTGAATATACACACAACAATACAATTTAAAATAACAGTTATTACAAATAGTTATTATACACAATGATTTATAAGCAAAAGTTTCACAAACTTACAAGCAATATAAAGTCTTCCTTTTAGTCGCGATTAGCGAGTTGATTATGAGTTGACGTAGGTATAACTCACTTAACAGGAAGCTAGCTAGCTTTGTCCCTCGTTATTTACCAGCCACACATGCCGAGTTTTTCACGATGAATTTACATAATGTTTTGCCCCCCCCCCAGTGGCACAGCGGTATGCCTGCGGACTTACAACGCTAGAATCCGGGTTTCGATACCCGTGGTGGGCAGAGCACAGATAGCCCATTGTGCAGCTTTGTGCTTAATTACAAACAAAAAAAAGCATAATGTTTTCATAAAAATACTAATGTCCGATGAGAATCCACTGAAAATAAATGATTTGTAATGTTCGAACTCTGTAAATGCTCCTGGTCAAATATCTGACATTTCCCGATTGATAAGCGTTATAACAATCACAGTTATAGCTTCCGAAGTTTATAGCAAACTAATAATAGATACTCTTTTTGGCGCGGCGCGTTGGTTATATTTATAGGCGTGTGGAGGCTTTCTAGAACATTCAGACTTACGTAACAATACTGAACTATAGTTAAGCGTTTACGTACATACATATATTGTTGATTCTTACTCTCGAAAATCTTCTTCAACTTTGGAGAATAGGCGGGAGTTTCGCAATACATATCCAACACTATAAGCCATACGTGTTTCTAAATATAAATTTAATCTAAACAAACGTTGATATTAAGATAAATATATAATAATAACTTCGTTACAACGTTAAGAATTGGGGTTTTATACTCGCAGTGGGCACAACACAAATAGACCATTCTGAAGCTTTTGTGCTTAATAACAAAGTTGTCATGTCCCCAAATAACACAAAGTTATGTTCTTTGTACAACACAATGAAGGTGTCTATGTTTTTTATATAATAAAGTTGTTATAAGAAACAAACAAATTTGTTGTGTTCCCTGCCTAGCACAAAGTTGAATTCCTTGTATAACACAATAAAGGTTCTTATGTCCCTCGTATGAAACAAAGTTGTTTCCCCTGTATAACACAATCAAAGTGTGTGTGTGGTTTTTATAAAATAAAGTTGTTATATTCCTTTGTAAAAATAAAATAAAACAAATTCATTGTGTTTCCTGAATAATACATTTAAAGTTATCCCCTTTGTACAACAAAATCAAAACTGTGTGTTCCTTTTACAAGACCATAATAATTTTTTTCTTTAAATCTGGTTAGATAAAAAAGTATAAATATTATTTAAACATAAAACTTAAAGTAGGATAGTGTTTCACTGTGTAGAAAAACACTTGGATTTCCTTATCGCATTGTTTATAAACTAAAGTTGCCATCACAAAGAAGAAAATCGATTTAAAAAGATGCCATAAACCTGCCATTAGCTAACCCTAATCGATCTGTAGTTAGAATTAAAACTGCTTGGATTTGTATGTCATTCTCTTTTTAAATGTTTTAAACGGGGATAATTCGTTAGAACTAGAAACCTTATTTTAGGATGCTCACATAAATAAACCCTATACTACAAATAAAAATTGTTTTTTTTTTTACTTTCAATAAGTATATGTGTTTTGTTACACTTATGGTTAAAGCAGCTTATGTTTTATAACTTAGATATTTTGAACAAACAGCTAGTAAACACGTTCATTTCCGTTAGTTTAAGTACTTCTAGCTCTAAAGTGGCTCAGATAGCCCATTGTTTTGCTTTGTACTTAACTATAAACAAACAAATTCTTGGGATTCGATCACCATAGAAACTTAAGTTTAAGTTATTGTTTACATCAAAGGTTGTTTCATTATCCGAAAAACGTGCGTCTGTATATTGTTGCCTTTGGTCACGTTTTCAGCCCAGTGTTGGATTGAAAGAAAGATGATATAATGTAAAATATAGTAATATTGATTAAACAATGTTTAATAACTCATAGTGAAATTGGGGGGATATGGTCATCACCACAATTTAGTATAAAAACAAGAGGGAATCCTCAATAGCCGCGGCACTTAAAATTATTTTAGGCAGGATTAAAGTAAATTAATCTATGATACCTTAGGTGTGGTCAATTACATCGTTTAATAGGGTTTGGCCCCCTGAGTCCAACACTGTAATTACATCTCAAATCGGTCAAGAGATGACGAAGCTATGAGTTAAAATTTTGTACTTGAAAAACTCAGAGCCATTCTATAAGCCGCTTTGCCGCGGCTAATAAATTATTATCTGCTCAAAGCTATATAATGCATTATTTAAGGAGTGATAAATGTAATCAGAAAAGTTACGATGTTGAATGTTAAAATCTCGATGCGAATCAAGCGATAATAAGGGGTCGAACATCTTTTCGTACAATATGACGTGAACCATAACGTTAAGACATTTAATCAGACTGAAACTATCTAACCTTTAGTCATTATTCGAGTTATGAATATATTCTTACAAATTCGGTTTCATTTTTAATTCACATTTGAAGACTCATCAAAGTATGCTCTAACATTGGTTTTTTTTTTTTTTTTTTTTTTTT